GAAGGCGGAAAAAGTTTTGTAACTGACAGTCAGTTGATTGCAGTAAGATTAAGTCAATTGATGCAATAAAAGAGAATAAAATGCAATGCATTTTAGCGAGGAAATCCAGCAAGTAACATGTTCAGAACATACAAAAAGAGATTTAAATAAATAAATCTGAAGATCTGAAAAAGCATATCTTTACCGGATACTGCAAATGCATTACTAAGTTATAAAATATTTGGGAGAAAATAATTCAAAGTAGTTTTCAGCTTTCACTATTACTTTGCCTCTCCCTCTATGTACTTGTGATAGATACAGCTATTCATGAGCTCCTTCTAAAATTTACGATGATCTCCATAAAACTTAGGTTTCAAATGCCTCAGTGTCTAGATGATGGTAACTGATAGCAACAGTATCTTTACTTGGATATCTTCCGTTTTTTCAGGGGGTGATTTCAAATGCATTTTCCCCTATAAACAGAGTAACTTTAAAATGCTCTCTTTAAATATGTAACAACATTTGTCAAACAAGCTCCCCATGCAGATGGGAAAAAGGAAATGAAGTTCAATAGGTTTCAACGAGACGTCATTCTCTTTACTGAAACTATGAGGCCTGAATTCTCTTGGTAAGAACAACAGGCTACGAAAAAAAAAAAAAAAAGAAAAAAAAAAAAAAAAAGTGAAGAGCTTAAGTAAATAGCAAGATCCTTACCAAGTAATCTGCATCTCCTTTGCTGTTGCTGTGTTTTTGTTGGAGCTCTACACATCACACCGTGCCGTGGGCCCCCATCTCACAGCACAGTCATCGTCTTGTGCTCATTACAGTGCAGTCGTTAGCTGTGTCGAAGCAAGAGCAGTGTGAATTAATGCTAGAATTGCGCAGAAGAAAGCAGGCCACATAGGAGATGGATCTTTATATAAATATAAGTGTCTTGGGTAACCAACATATGGAGATAATGAAAAGCATAAGAAACACACTTCCTCTGGAAGGTTTGTTAATATTAGACACCACCTATGCAAATGCAATCATACTGTAAGGAAATCATGAGATGAGACAGAAATTAAGAGAAAATAATTTTAAAAGCTCTTTAGAAGGAGACTGTATTTTACTTTATCATCTTTCTCCCTTCTCTATGAAAAGGAATTGCCTTAAAAAAAAAAAAAAAAAAAAAAAGAGAGAGAGAGAGAGAAAAAAAAAAAAAAAAAAAACCTAGAAGCATGCAGAGCACAGTTCCAGCTGGGAGATCTTCATGGAAGCAAAGCTCTGGTACAAGAACAGTTTGGGGCTGTGTACTAAATGTTCACTTTTATTGAAGTTTCTCTCTACACAGAGAAGTCAGTTATTACTTTTTTCATGTGAAAATCTAGGGTCTAATCTTGTATTGGGCCAAGCACTTTACACAAGGAGCTGGGTGCCCATACCTCTCTCTGAAGGGTGTTTCGGGTCAGGGAGCAACAGCTTGCATTGTAGCTGTAGTCACTGTGTGCTGTAGACATAATACCACGATAACTATCCAGTGTTTTCAACATGACCTGCATTGAACTGTATTTTTTATACTTTTCTCTGAATTCCCTCTTTCAGATGTGAGTTCTGGCAGCTCTATGGACTGGGCCTATAAAAACGGTATCCCCTATGCATTTGCATTTGAGCTGCGTGACACCGGCCATTTCGGGTTTTTACTTCCTGAGACGCTGATCAAACCAACCTGCACGGAGACCATGCTTGCAGTTAAAAATATAACTCTTCATCTGCTGAAGAAATGCCATTGAGAGATATGGCATTGTTTCTACCAGACACACCTGGCCAGAAATGGAAAAGAAAAACAAACATTTATTTTTTACTCTACAAAAGTCCCTGAAGTTGATATAGTAACTTAGCTTTCCATTTGGTGTAACATATTTAGTTCTTTTTGCATTAAAGCTTTGATTCTCTGCCAGGGACTTCACTGCGGCAGTTCTTGTCCCACATACACGTGCTTGAAAGAAAACTTACTTTCTAGAGTGTCCCTGGCCTTACTGCTTTCCCAAACAGGACTTTCCTCAGTGGAGTCTCTTGAACAAGGGGATAAAATTAACCTTCATATATATGCACTGTGTCCCAATGCAGGCCTGTGTGTATAGCAGTAAATGGCAGTGCAGTATATAGTTGTGGCTGGACATGCTACAGGTAGCAATGTGTCTTCTTTCTGCATTTATACATACATATGTATATGCACTTTTCTGATTTTTATTCATATAATGCAGGAATTTGACCCAAGGTTTCCTTTAACTGTTCAGAAATAACGACTTTCAAATGTATATATTGGGGTGGACTAAAAATCAACATACTGCCCTTGAAAATGTAACTTCCCTAGAGATTTGTAAGAATTATAATGAAATATAATTGAACTATACAATACTCTGCTTTATGGAGAGGCCATAGCTGACAAAGCAAATTGCCATGACTAGGAGCTTGGAACCAGGCAGGTGACTGGTGCTTCTGGGTTTTGCCATAGTATATGCCCATTTCTACCAGCTGAGGACCTAGTCTTGACCTGTAATTACAATGTTAACTGATGTTTTATTCATCGGTATTCTTGCAGTGAGTTCCGTAACTCTGTGGCTATGTGGCGGCTCTTCTTGGAAGTCATATTTTTTGCATGCTTTAAAGGAATTAATAATAGATTGTTAAGTGAGATGGAGGTGAAATCAGAAGCTTTACAGCTGAAAGAGAGAAAATAAGCACCATGTTTGAAAGAATAATAATGAAAGCACAGAGAATATAACAACTTGTTGAGGTTTTGGGGGTACTTTTAAAATACTATTTTTTTCATTTTATTATATCTGCAAAAGCATATATTTTACTTTATTAATGCTGAGTTTAATCTTATGTCATAACATGTTAAATAAAATGTATTTGTTAATAAAATTATCAAAGGCTTTTGAAATATTCTTCACATTCTATTTCATTGTTAAGACTTAGTTCATGGTTTTAACAATTTTCCGTATCTGTAAAACATTGTATCTGTAAAACATCTGTAAAACATATTGTATCTGACAGATACAATACTTTAAAAAATCTACACCCTCTAGATACATACCTGAACTTAGTAAATGTACAACATTTATGAGACTAGGGAGCACTATATTTAAATAAGAATACTATTGTCTTCAGGACTTCAAAAGGCAATCAGTGAGCAAAGATGACAGAATCCCCTTCTATGTAAGTTTAACATTTTGTTAATAAAATGTATTTATTTTAAGCAAGCTTTCTGAAAGCTTGTCCAGACTTGATTAGTTCAGAGTTGTTTGAATAATGCAAGTTTCTAATATGCTTTAATTAAAATCTAGGTAATGGAAGCTCTAAAAAATATCTATCCAATGATCATCTCCCATTTGCTTATGACCATAATCATTAAATATTTTGAAGACCACAACAGTCGTTTGCTATGCACAAATTCTTGACAACCGGTCCTGGTTGTGGTGTAAATTAAATATTAGCACCAATTGTCAAGAGTTATCCTGGATTTAAGTAATAAGATATAACTGTTACAAGGACATGTGGAACTGAAGTAAAGGACAGAAGGTGTGAGAGATGCCTAATCAGCAGGAGACAATTTATCATTGGATTGCTACAGTACAGCCTTTTCCACACACAGGCCAGAAGAAACCAGATTCGGATGTGATGGATTGATTGCTGCTCATAGTATAACGGTTCATCACATGAAACATTTCAGATTTATCTTCATACCATACATCTCTACTTGTACTGAAAAGTAATTGAACTCTTGGAGAAAAAAAAAAAAAAAAAAGAAAGAAAAAAGAAAAACAAAACTCTTTTTATTAAGAAAAGGTCCTAACATTTTAGATGTAGTTGACCTTGGACGGGAATAATTGCAGGTAGTCCTACATTTGTCTAAGACAGTTTGACATTTAGAAGTATTTGATTTTAAAAATATTTGATGAATAAAGCCATGTCCTGGCATCTGGGTGGACTAAGCCTGAATACTGCTTTACATGCGACTGAAATCTCTGAGCTGAGCTGAGTGTTGAAGACCTTTCTATGGCAGGATGATTCAGTGCCCCACAGCTGAATACAAGTGTAATACAAGTGCCAGACCCAGTACAACAGTCTCCGAGTCCTTTAATTTCAGGGTCACTAAAGCTGATCAAAAAGACACTCCCCAGAAAAGAGTAAACCCTATTTCCTGAATTAAGAATTTGTAAGAAAATTAATCAGCAAGAGTGATTCTAAATAGAGCAATTTACCCTAAAGCAAGAATTCTTATAACAGCTATTTGGATATGGAACAATAGCCTTTTTGACTTACAAATGTTACTTCTCTGAACATTTCTTTCTTATCTCTATAATTACTTACATCTCTTCCCTTTCTACTTCTCTTCAGCAGACTTTATTGCCCATAGAACAACGGAATTGATAGCTGGTTTTGAGAAAAATGAGTTTATGTTATGACGATAGGTATAGTTTATCATTCAAATAAAAAGCACATGAACAGCAAAACAGTGGTTATTAATCTAGCCGTCAAAATCAAATATATAATCATTATGTGAAATCCCGGAGTTACAGTTCTTTTGCTTATTGATAGAATAACTATAACTACTTCTGTAAATTGGAAAAAATGCTCAGACAAGGTTTGTGAACATCTGCTCTTTTCTTTGATAGCTTTTATGTTTTAAAAACAAAACTCAGGTAAATTAGCATGAATAAAACAGGCCTATGCCTCTGAAAGTCACCCTTCTCGAGCACAAAAAAAAAAATTATCCCAAATGTGAACTTAGAAAGATTCCAAGTGACCTTGAATTGTCATTCATAAATTGTTAAGAAATTCACCTTTATATGTTGAAAAAGGTACTGAGTTTCATTGCAAACCTTGAACAAAGAACATACGGTGAAGCTCCCCATACCTTCTTCAGAAGTTGCTTCAAAAAGGTCAACACATTTGGTTACCCATGTAACGTATAAAGCCTACAAAAAAAATGCATTATATATACATATTTAAAAAAAAAAAAAAAAAAAAAAAAAAAGTCTGAAATTTGAGCAGAAAGATTAAGAATGACCTTGAATGCCAACATGCATTTACTTGGAAATAACCAGTACCAGTCAGCTTGTCTACAAAATAAATTGCGGCATGCAGATTGCACTATCTACTCGAGGACTGCACAAAAATGCTTATTGAAAACACTACACTTAATTCTTCAGGCTGAGAAGAAAGCAGCATATTTCCTACCAAAAACAGGTTAATATTTAACCACTCTAGTTTATTCATGTTAAACAATACCCTCCCTTTTTATGTTTACATTTAATTTAATGGCATTGCTCAAAGAATAAGATATTCAGTAGCATGAGTTGAGCAGTATATAAGCCCTTTGACATCCTTTCCTTTAGCTGAGTGAAACTACTGTATCATTTCTATAGCTCAGTGTTGTAGCAGTCACATTCATTGTTAGTCTCATACATAATGATTTTATTTTTTTCTTTTTGTGACTAAAAGACAAATGTTACCAGTTTCATTCAGTTCTGAAGTGTTGGTAAAACACCAGAATAATATATCAAATGTATAGAGATCAAACTACACCTCTGCTGAAGAGAACAGAAATCTAAGGAGAACAGAAATCTAACTAAGCCTCAGAGAGTGCTTTAAAATACGAAGCCAATTACATTGATTATATTTCTTTGAAAACATTTTTAAACACTCATCATGCCAACTACCTGTTTAAAAACCTTCTGTCCACAGAAATCATTGTAGGAGGAAATCTCTGTGCAGACTCCCTTGTGTTCTGTTTGATTATATCTATAGACCCTCCATCCACATCAGCATCATGGAGTCAGGTGTACTGATGCTGGTTGTTGGTCTGTAAAGGATGAAGGTTTACTACTCCAGAGTGGCTTTCACACTCCTCAGCTGAATGTGCCCATCATCCTACTTGTAATGCACCCCTTGAGCAGCTGGTCAGAAACTCACACCTTTAGGTGGTGTCAAAGGGGCCTGCCTTTACAACAAGGTCTTCTGCTAGTATCTGCAAATTTGGGATAACCAGGGTTAACCCCCATATGAGCAGTGAGCTCATACAGGGTTGTTCTTAGCAAATAAGGAAGTGTGTGGTGCAATAAGTGTATCTTCAACCCAGAAGACAACCCTAAATGCTTGTCCCTCCCCAACAGGCAGCAGTGGTCAACCAGAAAGTTGCAGCTCTCTGCATGTGGGACATCAGGGAATGCACTCATATATAATAGATTCAAATGTTAATTAAAAAATTCTGCCACTGTCCCCTGCCATGCAAAAAGTGCATGCCTGTGACAGTGAAGATCCATCCTTTGCAATAAGGACAAGGGATAATGTTCATCATAGTTCCTGTCTGCTCTGAGATTCCTGCTACCCTACCAATGTTTAGCATTAATGAAAAAGATGTGGGCAGAATAGCCATAACAGGGAGCTATTTTAATCTCTCCCCAGGTCTGTAGGAGTGCATACTTTAACTGAAATAATAGATAACTGGTTCTGAAATAAATATTGTGGTATGACTGTGAGCAGGTGTTTTAGTCTTTTGTGCTGACTACTAAGTGCCAGGCTGTTCCTCTGCCTACCAGTACAGCTTGATGCTGGGTGCAGGAGGGGGTGGGAGTGTTGCTTTTTTTAACCAAATAATTAACCTTTCTTTTTTTTTTTTAACCAATTCTGAGCAGAATACAAAGTTACATATGTCTGAGAAAGTTTCATTTTATAACAGAATTTTCAGTTTTCTTGAAAATAATTTATCTGTTTGAATCACAACCAGTGTTTAGATGGCTCGTTTTCTTCAGCATGCTATAACTGGAAGAAAAAAAAAAAAAGAAAAAAAAAAAAAGTAAAGCAGTCTGAAAATCTCTGCCAAAATGACTGATCCACTCACTGTTTCATTTTATTTTGTTTCTAGATGGAGAAAATCTGGGTTGACTGGGCTGAATCAAAGCAGTTCAGTCAAAAATCTGTGTTAAGTGTTCTGTGCTTAGTTAGCTAGAAATAGCTGGGGGGTTTGTTTTGTTTTGTTTCTTAAAAAAAAAAAAAAAAAAAAAGTATACTTTATGTTCTTTATACAGACTAATTGCTTTACTCTGAATTTAATTATCATATTCACAGAGCTTAATACGGTTTGGGCTGAGGTATTGTTATTTTCCTGGGAGCCAGGCAGCCTCCTAAGGGTTAAATGAGTGGCATGCCTGCCTCTGTGGTAGGAGAAGCAGAGCTGCTGTTTGGCCTTGTTAGCACAGAATCTGTCAAAAAGGCAAAATGTACTTGAGCCTTATCTCACAGAATAAATTTGCTACATCACGCTGTGCGCTTCTCCATTTCTCCTCCTCCATTTCAAAACCGACATGAGTCCTGTCTGTCAGTGATGACTGCGGGCTCTAACAGCTCCTAACTTTCGGGACTAAATTTAAATGGTGAACCTGTTAAAATGTGTGAACTTCACCACATACCTACGCAGCTCAGTTCACACACAAACAAGGTGTCTGTCTGCACAGCGTGTGCTGGCTGAGGGTTTACATAACAGTGTGGCTGCAACTCATGGCAGACACAAGGCCACGGGTAGCAGGCGGCGTGTGCTGGGCTTCCCCCCTCCACACGCTGTGAGCACCCCAGTTCAGCCACTTCATCTGGTGCCTTAGAGCCCCCTGTGCTATTACATGGGTGCAAAACCCAAAACTATTCACTCAGGGCCACTGTGGGTCTGCTACCATTACCAACCACGAGCCCTGAGCACAGACCCTCTTCATGGGTATGGCCTGTGGTCAGGTTTGCCTGAACAGCTTTGGGCAGAGGCTGTGATAAGCTGTTACATCCTCAACTTGCATCCCAGAAAGCCTTTGTTATCTTGTGGGTTACAAAGAAGGTCCTGTGTCACTGCCCAGAGTGACCAAAGGGGTGTCTGAGCTCTTCCTGTAGAGGCTGATAATGCTTCAGGAAGGCCCTGGGGAGCCTACAGGCCACCAGGATTTTGTGTCTTCTTCAGCCCATGAGCAATTCTTCCATATACTACACATTTTTAGGAACACATTTTTAAAATCATAATTTTAAACAAAACAATAAAAGAATTCTTATATTAAAACTGTTGCACTTATTTTAATGAGGCTTCTTTTTGGAGAAGCTGAGGTAGAAGTGACCTGAAGCTGCTGTTATCCTGAAGGATGTTTAGGGATTCAGCGGACGCAGTCCACTTCCCTTCAAATGTACACCTGCCGACCCCACAGATGATAACTGCAGCCTTCAGGAAATGTTTCAGCAGAGACCTCACAGCAAACCTGTCTGAAGAACAGGCTACTCTTCAGAGAGACGTTTTGATGCTGATGAATGTGGGGAAGTTCGTCTATAAATCTCCCCTCTTGAGCAGAGAGTAGGAACATCATGTTTCCACAGCTGTCAGGACTGCATTTTTCAAAGAAAACGTTAAACTCTACCTCAGAATTTTAACAGAGCAAGGAAGGTCCCCGTTCATTTCACACTTCCCTGCACTTCAGCAGCAAGGAAGGCTCCTTGGCTGGTGTGGCTGGCTGCACTTCCACCGACACCCAGCCCGTCAGAAAGAGCAGCATTAAAAATCACTGGAATCACTGTCTTGTTTTTCTTTTGCCTCTGTATCTTAAACAATCCGTCAGTGCTAAAGCCTGAATATGCACAAGAGTAACTCTCGTCCGTTTAGGTGTCTGTTGAAGGGCAGCGAAAAAGCTGATTTCTTAAAAACTCCTGTTTTGGATTCAATGATTTCCATTTTGTGGAAAATCAGCAGTCTGTATGTACAAAAAAAAAAAAAATCTTAGAAGACAAATGATTTGTGAAAAGTTTTATCCACAGACATACTAAATACAGAATATATCATCTTCATACTCCTGTTCTGAATGCATGGACCCAAGGCACACTGGTTGGAGGAGGTTCCCATTTCACTCACTGTCAGGTAGACTAAACATAAAGGCAAAGGAAGCAGTCTAACATGGGGTAAGAGAAAAAGTCCAAATTAAATAGCAAGACTGTAGGCCCCAAGAGCAGCAGACATTACCTGGATGAGTATAAAAAGGCATTTTAATTTTTAACTACCAATAGTGAAGCACCAATACTTAAGAAAGATGAAAGGAAAACAACCATGTGGGATAATTAGAGGACTGCTGGGTCAGATGGCTTACTGGAAAAGCAAATGGCTAGAAACAGATGAAAAACAAAAGTTAGACAAAAAACCAGCAAACAAGCAAAAATTAATCATTTTAGATTGAATTGCAGTCTGTGAAAAGCATAAAAATAACTTCATGAAGAAATGTAAGTAAATGGATACTGGTGGGATTATTTCTAAGGTAAAAAGCAGAGGACTGAAAGGACATTAAAATCTAGAAAATCATTTCTCCATTCATCTGATGATGTCAAATAACTTACCATTGCAGTACTCCCATGTGGACAATACTAATATTCAGGAATCCTCTGACATAATTAATTTTTAATGCTTATGGATATTAGCAAAGAGGTGAAGGAATACAGTAATGCCTCCCCCTCAATCACAGCATTGCTCACTCTGCACAGGTTGGCACCTTTATCTCCACCTCTCCAGCTGTACATGGGAATAAACCTCAATACGGCAGAAGTGGATGCCTATCTGCTGTGTGAAGAAGCAGAGCGGCAGATTCCACACAGAGGTAGCAGAAGTAATCTGCATTACATTTGGGGCATATTTCCACAGGGGCGCATGGAAAAGTGTAAAAATCACCATGTATCTGCTGCAAGATATTGGAGACTGAGAAGTAAAGAGAGTTAAGATTAGCTTCCTTTACAGAAAACCTTGCTTGCCATAAAATTCATCGAAATACTGATCCCACTGCATAGGTAGAAGAGCATTTCTTCTCCACTTTTCATTAGAAATCCATTACATGATTTTTCTCTATTCCTCTTCATTGCAATGCATTTTCATAAGTACACAGCTTTTCAAGAATAGATTTGTACTGTAAGTGAAAAGGATATAGTTGCAGCACCATCAATATACAGCATGAAGTTACAGACATGCAAGAAATTCCAAAAAAGCATCACTGGAACCCAGAAGATGAGACGTATACGGGAATGTTTCCAAGGAAGGCTCTCCCAGACTTGACTAATCTTAACAATGTACGTCTATTTATATGGCACATTATGCTCAAATCCACTACACTATAGAAGCCAAAGCTACAATGAAAGGGAAAACTGCTGGATATCTATCATTTTGCTTGCTATTCAGTGTGGGAAATTATTTTAACACAGCAAGAGTCATTTTATTTATTTAAGATATAAGTCCATAGCATTTAAAAAATGAAGCAATAAATAAATAAGTCTTTGAACTCTGCAAAATACTTTGTCATACAAAAGAATATTACTTTTGAAAGTTCACATACACATCAACGATAAATATAGCAGTGCTTTTGCCTTAGGTGTTTCCTGTCAGTTATATACACTGCCATGAAAAGGACCAAAGCCTTTAGCAGCTCATTCACTATTATTCAGCATTTTGACAACAAATGACAACCCTACAGCCAAAAGCACACTTGAGATTTCTGAGATATCCCACTAAAGCCACCCATTCTTTTGTGGCTGAACGAAACAGGCAGCCCTTGTGCCTCCTCCCGGAGGATAATAATGCTGGGTATTGTGGAAGCTCGAGGTGTTAGTGTTACAGGCTTACCTATGCCACCACTCACCTTCTGTTTTTCCTGAATACGTCCCCTGGGGTGGCAGGCCTGAAGTTTCACCTGTCTGGGAGAATAAATTCACAATCCTCCTGCTCTGAAAGTGGGATTTAACTCGTCTGACGTAAATTGAATGAAGACTATTCATCTGAACTAAATCCCTCTATACAGTGGGTAGGGAAAATAAAGGATGTAGATGTTAATAGGTCACATCTACCATAGACTTGGTATTATTGCTACTGTATGTGTTCCTCATTAGATGTTGCTCCTTTTGCATAGCGAGAGCCCAAATGACAGCTGAGACTAGGAGCTTAGCTTTTATAACTGTTAAAATTAGTTGAGACAAATTCCATCTGAGGATGGGACTTACCCCTTAATTTTCAGTAGATCTAGCTCTGGCTCAATTCAGATGCCTGAAGTTCTTTCTTTCAGGGTTGCCCATGACATGCGGGACATTTAAGGAATAATTACATGCATTTCTGCCGTGTAATTTCAACAGTAATTCAGGCAGACCTAATTTCTTCAGCCACCACAAGTGAAGGCTGGTTCTATGGACTATGAAGGCATCTTCCTTTCTATCCCTCTCTCTCATGCTTCTTTTAATCCTGAGAGTAATTTAGGTTACTCTATATGCATATTTCTCTTCCTGCCTTGTAGATTGCTGGAGAGGGAACCAGAATTGTAACAGCAATTAGTTTTGGTATTCCCCATTAATAAAGATCATCTATTTAACTATGTTCCCCATTAATAAAGATCATCTATTTAACTATGAGTTAGCTGGCTTGATGCATTCTTTTTTTTGTTTGTTTTTTTTTTTTGCTGGACAGATTTTTTACAAGTTAAACAAATGCTACTACACAACACACAAGCAATACCAAAGACACACAACATACCAATACATAAATAATCAAGCAATGTAGAGTATTCAAAATCCATCAGAGGGCAGTTCCAAATCTGTCACTGAAAACAGCTAATTCGAGGTTTGGTGAGACCCTGTGGATTTTACCCAGCAGCTGAGTGGCTGCCAGCTCCCTGCTGAACCCATATGAGACACCCCTTAAAGCTACCTCTCTGTTAATTTTTTCTTTTTCCTGCCTCTAGCAGGCACTACATGATATTTAAAGGCTACTGAGTTTAAGGCGGTCCTTGAACTTAAAGTGAGAATGTTACCTTACTTTTACAAGAATGCAGAAGTTCACTTTTGATGCAAGCAATCAGTAATCAAGACTAGTGAACAGCTGTTCACAGAAAGCTATGGTCTATTCAGCCTGCCCCTGCAGAATCCAATCTTATAATAAAGATTGATTTATCAATCTTCAATCTTCAATATCTTATTCTTCATTAGAAAGAAACTATGGTCAGAGCCTATCCCGAGCAGGAAAAACAAAACACAGTCATAGCTTCATGGTAAAATATTTATTAAAATTGTAATAGTAAGTGACATGGTAAAAATAATCTCAAAATCAGAGATTTATACATCGAAATAGTGAATACAGATTCCTGTGTTCTATGATTTTATAAACAAAATAATGTTTGCTGTATTATTGCAGTAACATTTAGGTTTGCAAATACACCAGAAAGTTTAAGTATTGTACTTCACACAGTGACCACATGTACTAAATATGCACAAATACACAAAGCCTGTTTATAAGACACTGCTGTTACCTCTCTGATTTTTAAAACAGAGCACAGTCAGCTTCCACAGAGTGCTCACACCTATTTCAAAGGACTCAGCCTCACTTTAATACAGTATACTGTGAATTTAAAGCCAATTTGGATGTTAATCTTCTATCTTTGATCCAGCACTATAATGAAAAGAAGTGAAACTATGAATTTAAATCTCCACAAAATCAGAGAAAATTCTTATCATGCATTTTGTGATATGGACACTTCAAAATGCTATTTTAAAATGATGCACAACTGTTTAACCTGCTTTACCTGTTTCTCTGTAGACTAATATGTCTTAAGATTAAGAAAGTTATTTTGTAGGTTGCATACAAACTACTGCTCAAAAAGGGGAAAATTCCAGTTGCCCATGGTGAGTGTTCTGGTTTCTAAGAAGAGTGAAGCATCCACATTTGGTTGACCTTATCCATGTGAGGGAGCTTAATGCCAGCACAATTATGAAAAAATGTACCACATTGTTTCCCTCTTACATCTGTGTTTGTGCCATTTCTGTGCATTTGTGTACAATAATATCCCAACTACTATTTCTGTTCTAAAATGGTGAACAAAGGGAAAGCAATGTGCTGACGAGTATAAGCAAGGAAAAGTTTAGGAAGAACTAACCAAAGAATAGAAGTGGTTTGTTAAATGAGCCTTTTAAGGACTATAACTGCAGCTATCCAGAGGCATGACCTCCATCTCATGCATATACAACTGGACCAACTGAAGCTCCACTGCCATAACTTGCTATTAAATTCATCTAAGTAAGCCACCATTGCAAAATGTATCTAGCCCCAGTGCTAGCTAAGGAAGCAAGTTTGTTTCAAACATGTATGAAACACCATAAACATTATCATTAGTCTTGACTATATATCCCTATGTATCAGTCATAAGGGCCCTGCACACCCCTCTTCACACTTTGTTTAAGCGAGTGCTGGTAAGCACAACTTACTTCAGATCACACTCCTCAGGAACTGAGCACAGAAGCAGTCACAAAAATCAGCAACAGCTCTATGGATTTGTAGAAAGCAGGTCCTGAAGAATTAGCTGTTGGCTGTCTCACAAATCATGAAAAAGGAGATTTTTACCAGCCCAACAACGATTGTTCCTTTTGGCCTTCTCAGCTGTGAACAATTATAAATTGCACCTCAACAGCCCCACCAGCGGCACAGCAACACTTCCTTATAGCCACCATCTCTGTTCCTGCAGGAGGAGGTCAAAAAGCTTTTAGAAAGAAACAGCATGCAATAAAGACCTTCAGATACAAAACTAACCACTCCACCTGTGCCTGGTTCTGAACTCAGACAGCAACAGCTTTGAATGTCATGAGAAGCCATCCATCCTACGTGTTGCGAACCAGTGAGTCCAGTTTTTAATGATGCAGATCACACATCACCTCTGACACTTGACTTGAAACTAGAAACATCTTGGAAGTCCAACCAAAACCGTCATAGGTATTTCAAAATGTTTTGTGAAGTTATTTGGATGAACACACACCTAGCAAATATTTAGCAAGTTAACTAGGATCCTAGAATGAAGCACCATTACAGTGCTTCAATATCTTCCTTCTACTTCTTTAATATCTTTCTTCTAGGCAAGAGTAACCACAACCCCCATTCAATTTTATCTCTCTGGTTATTCATATTCAAAATCTTTCATTCCTGCCACGAAGCCCACAGTTTGTAATATACAGGCTGAAGTATCAGTTATTGCATTTTTGACAGCAAATAACCCACTGCAGTTGCTGGAGGAAGCAATCAGGCAGATTCAAAGATCACTTGATGGCAGTGTAAAGTGGTTATTGCTCCAGCCTCATTGCTTGCCACCTTAATTCACGTGACTTTTATGACCTCTCGGTCCCTGCCTTTCAACACGGATATTAAACTACTTGGAAACCATCCTTGTCATTCATTTGACTTACCATACCCGCAGATTCAAGGGAGATTTATGCAGCCGAACTCCATTCAACTTTTCTCACTCCTTTTTCATTTTCAGACCTTCTTTTGTTATTATCAGCTTATTGAAAGAGATCTGCATAAACCTTTGAAAATGCACAAGTTCTAAAGCGATACACAGAATTCACCCCGGATCATGGGGAAGGGAGTCTTTCAGAACACCAAAATTAGGTTAAAGCTAATGCTTCGTGCTTCCAGTAGCTAGGCTATTCAATGCCTGATCTGTAAGACAACTCAGCATGCATTACGCTGGTCATGTCACATTAGTTACAAAGACCTGCAGGAGCCCGAAGCTAGGATTTAAAGGTAGGAGGATCATCATTTTCAGTGAATTTGTTACTTTTCTAATTTGCCATCAATCAGCATAGTCCCATTTTGTAACTCCAAACTGGAGATAAAAATTTGGCATAACCATATTGTAGTCCTTGCTATTACAGGTGTTTGGGAACATAACTAATGAACCAGATTCCGCACCACAAAGTAATCTCAGTGAGCTGTAACAGTAGCAACACCACTTCCCAGGAAAGAAGGCAATCATGTTGTGGGTCCCTCCCTTCAGCAGTTTCTCCTTAATATCCAGTAATAGTTCCTTAGCAATTTTATCTGCTGGAGTTGGCTAGGAGAAGCCATAAATCAGTGTTATCGTTGCCACAGATCCTCCATACATCTTCTTTTGCAGTGCAAGGCTCTCAGGAAATTGCCAGAAGTTTGTGTTCCTGGAATATTTTCCATCACACAGGGGGTACCACATTGGCTTGCATTTCCCTTTTCATTTGCAGAGCCTCACATACAACAGTAGCCATATACCATAACCACAGAAGTAGGTTGCTGATTTGTCCACAATCAGGTCTGTAAGTTTGAAAAATGTCTATAGAAACTTCAAAGGAAACCTATAAAACCGTATTTTAGAACTATTTATTTCCTTCTGTCTTCAAAATCAAGTCATGTTCCTTCTTCATTCACAATATTGGGGAATGGTATGCTGAGGTGCCATGGAGGCTGGGAAGTGAATTATTGATCTGCTGGCAGGAGCAAAATGCTGAAGAAAGAACTTATTGAAAGGTCCTATAGGTAGGCTAGAAGAAAAAATGTATTCCCAATAGGAAAAGTACTAGCAAAAAGGGCTCACATTCGCACAAATGCAGTGTTACAAGCTTCCCAGCACATGAATGCAAGCTACAGTCCGGAACATTTGCTATCTTCCACAGTTTCCAGCCCCAATTCAGAATGTTATTCTATCAACCACATGAGGTGCTTTTTTTTCCTTCACTGCTGATGTTTTTCCTGCAGCTGTCACAAGATGAAAAATGTCATGCTTTACTCCGAGTGTGTATCCTCAGGTAACATTAGTATTGAGAATGTATTACAATACAGCAAATGCCTGCACTTTTTAGCTTTAAGGAATAGGTTTGTCACCTTGCAAGAACCTCCTCAAAGTGATGGGTATTTATTTCATTACTGGTCACTCCGGGGTGTCACATGCTTTTGTACAAATGTTTGGAAGCAACCTAGGATTTACCTATTGATTAACATTCCCTGTGCTAATAAATATTTGCTACTTGCTCTTTTAGTGCTGCAGTAGATATACTGCAGCCTGTTTTAACCTATTAGAATATTCACCCTATGAACAAACTGAACTCTCACCCCGAGCTCCTGGATTTATCTAAAAAAATAAAATAATAATAATCTTACAAATGTTCAGGAACATTTATAGTGAGTGTCATAATGGATACAGTGGATATTTAGAATTATGCTTCAGTTATCTATTCTATTCTATTCTAATCTAATCTAATTCAAATTCTATTCTATTCTTACAAAGGTAGCTGACCTAGGACTCCACATAGAGAAAGAGAGAAATGTCTTCTTTGTATTTCATTATTAGATAACAGAGCACCACAGGGTAAAAATTCAGTACAAGACTTGAAAGCTTCTCAACCAAGGTGGCTGCAGTTGCAGAGCAGTCATAGCTTCTCTCCTGTTCCATGTTCCCATGTGCCAGATCCATCTGGACCCTGATCCATCATGCGCTGATTATCTGCATCTGGTACACGAAAACAGAACGGGAGCAGAGAACTGTGCTGCAGCTAAGGAAGGTGCCAGCAATGAGGCACTGTGATTAAAGGGGCATTTATACACTGGTCCTGTCTGCTGACCCATGCGTCCAATACACAGGGTCTCATGCACAGAAGCAGTGCTGAGCCATCTGTTGTGCAACAGAGATACTGATGAAATTTTGTACATAAAGCGGTAGTTCTGTATACAATGCTTTAAGTCGGCATTAACCTGTAGTGCTGCCAAAAAAATGCAAGCCTGCCCTCTTCTTGCTCATTTTCTTGTTCCTGTCCTTGTGTTATCCCCCACCCCCTTGAGCTAACAAGCTTTTGTGAGATTGCCTGATGAAGCAGGGTACGGAATATATCTGGATTAAAAACGCTCTGTTTCTTGTCAGGTTGG